CCAGGTTCATGAACAGTTTCAAATGGCAGTCAGCTGTCAGGTCCACCTGAAGGGAGGCCTTGGATATCAGGGGCCATGACTAGGGTGGGTCAGGGGAGCAAGGAGCATAAGATGGGCTCTTCCAACTGCCGGCCAAAGGGAGATGCAAAAACTGTCCAAGTTTGTTTCAGAAGCTTTCAGCCTCCAGAAACTGGCTTAGAGACTCCAGAAAAGACTGGGTTGTCTAGATGAGTCAATAGAGAAGGCCTCATGGAACCATGCTCTTTAATTCAGTTGGTGTTTGCTCTTTAGTTTCAGATTTATTTATTAACTGTGCTGGTTCTTCATTGCTGTGTGCAGTTTTTTTTTTTAGTTGCAGACAAGCCGAGACTGCTCCTTGTTGCAATGCGCAGGCTTCTCATTGTGGTGGCTTCTCTTGTTGCAGAGCACAGGCTCTTTGCACACAGGCTTCAGGAGTTGTGGTGCTTGGGCTTAGTTGCTCTGTGGCATGTGGATCTTCCCAGACCAGGGATTGAACCTGTGTCCTCCACACTGGCAGGTAGACGCCTATCCACTGTACCACCAGGGAAGTCCTAGTGGCTGCTCTGGAGGTCAGATAGTTCAAGATGATTTTTGTTTTGTATTCATTTTGTTCTCTTTCACATCAAAATTACTTATTGAATGGTTCCCATGGGCTGAGTACCGCTCTTATGCTGGGGTGGCAGATGAAAGACAAGCCTCCCTAGGCCAGCGTGGGTGATGGACAGGCAAATGTTAATGTGTGTTGGTAAAGGTACATACAAACCTCAGGAGTGTTATCTACCACTTCAAGGAGGGTTTCTGGTGGAGGGGCATTAGATATGAAATCACTCTGGCCTGTAGGAGCCCTTGAGTGATGAGACTGGGTTCTGAAGAAGCTTGAATGCCATTACTATCAGTTTCACTATTCTCTGGGAGGTTTTGAAAACCATAAAAAATGTTAAGTAAGGGAATGACATATCATACTTACATTTTGAAAATAGGGCTTTGGCTGTTATCAGGGGATAGGGATGAAGGGCTTATTTATCTTTGCTGAAACATAAATCACTTCAAAACACAGCAGCTTAGAATACAGGGGGGTATTTTTCTTTGGGTCAGAATTTCTGGAGCTGCTCAGCTGAGAGGTTCTGGCTTGGGGTCTCCCATGAGGTTACCGTGAAGATGCTGGCTGAGGCTATAGTATTGGAAGGCCAAGGTGGCTAACTTTCACGGCCGCCAAGTTGGTGCTTGTCATTGGCAGATGGTCAGTTCCTCTCCCTGTCAACCTTGCCACAGGCTGTGTGAGCATGCTGCCTGCAGGGTCACTCCAGAACGAGTGACCTGGGAGAGTGAGGCCAAAGTGTCTGTTGTGAACTGCATATTTTGTCCCCTCTCCCCACTTCACACATTGAACCCCAACTCTCAATGTATTTGGAGATGGAGACCCTGGAAGATAATCAGGGGTAAATGAGGTCATGAGGGTGGGGCCCCAATCTGATGGAGATGGTGCCTTTCGGAGATGAGGAAGCAACCAGAGCCCTTGCTATCTCTGCCACATGAGGACACCAGGAGAAAACAGCTTCTACAAGCCAGAAAGCAGGCTCTCATTAAACACTGAATCTGCAGACACCTTGATCTTGGACTTGTCAGCTTCCAGAACTGTGAGAAATAAATGTCTGTGGCTTGAGCCCCCCATTCTGCAGTATTTGGTTATGGCAACCAGAGCTGATGGGATGCCTTTTGAGACATGGCCTTGTACCATCCCTGCAGGCACATTTAGTTTGCTAGAATGTCAATAAGTCCAGCCCATATCCAAAGGTAAAGGAATTAGGCCCCACCTTGGGGAGGAAGAGAATTCATGAACATAATTTCAATATCCCTTTGTTACGAGTCCAAGCTCACTCTGCTCACCACATGACAGACCAATGAATCAGAGACAAGGTATTGAGGCAAGGAGTATGCCTTTATTCGGAAAGCTGGCTGACCAAGAAGATGGCAGATTAATGTCTCAAAATAACCATCTTGTCAGTTTCTGGACACCAGGTTCTTTCTTAGAACAAAGGAGGGGAGGAGTTGAAAAAACAAAGTATAAAGGCCTTTAATCTTGTGAAAATCCCCTGGAAGGCCATCCTGGGGGAGGGGATGTGTTCATTTCTTCTTCTTTGTGGTCATTCACAGGTGAGCAGGGTCAGATTGTCTTTCAGTGAGCGGAACAAAGGCACTTTAGTTTAACAATTAGGCAGAGGGGCAAGGTTCCCTCAGGCAGGTCATTGTGTATGATTATAATAACAAAAGTAATCAAAAGCAAAGGTTAAAGCCAAAGAAACAGGTCCAACATGGAGTAAAAAATGGCTCTTTCCTGTAACACTTTTGTGATGTTCTTAACATGTGAGCAAGAAAAGGGGTCATAATCTGGCCCCAAAGCATATGGAGTAAGGCACAGATGTGACAGACATGAAGTTTGCAGAGTCAACGTGACTTGGAAACTGCACTTAGACTGAGCTGGGACTTAAAAAAGGGGGGGTGGGGGTGGGGGGAGATGTGATGTGGAGGAGGAATAGGAGAGTCCAGAATGCCTTAGAAGTGAGACGCCTTTGGGACATGCAATGGATATTTCAAAGAGGCTGGGGTGCACCTGGGTCTGTGGTGTTGATCTGGGGTTGTGAGTATGAAAACTATGGTTGTAGACGAGCTCACCCAGCAAAGGGCATAAAATAAGGGAGTTAAGGGCCCAGGCAGAGTTCCGAGGCACCCCTTCATGTGGGGTTTGTGGAGAGGACGACAATCTGGCAAAGCAGACCCAGAAGGGGGATCAGGGAGGGGAGGAAGATGCAGAAGCTGTCCTGAGGGCGCTGAGAGGAGAGAGTGGGCTCCTGTGTCACACACAGCAGAGGAGCTGGGAAGTTGGCTGGATCTGGTGATCTGGAGGCTGGCTGTGGTTGGCTAAAGAGTATCAGTGGAGTGAGTGGAAGTCAGGTTGGATTGGGTCGAGGAGAGGATATCTGGAAGGAGAGGAAGTGGATATAAACTGTGCTGACAGCCCTTTCAAGAAGGTTGGCTCTAATGGAAGAGGGAAGTAAATGGAAGTTTAGAAGAGTTGTTTTACTGCTTGAGGGAGGGTTGCAGTGGAAACAGGGGTGGAGAGAGGGAGAAGGAGAGTAAGGTCAGGGCCTGAAGTCCTGGAGAAGTCACTGCCTTTGCTCTTATTGTTTATTTTACACCCAGTAGTTTGTCCCTTTCAATCCGCTACCCTTATCTTACCCCTCCCTCCTTCTCTCTTCCCACTGGTAACCTCTAGGTTGTTCTCTGTATCTGTGAGTCCGCTTCCTTCTCATTGTACTAGTTTGTTATTTTTTAGATTCTATGTGTGATATCATACAGTATTTATCTTTCTCTGACTTATCTCACTTAGCATAATACCCTCCAAGTCCACCTATATTGCTGCAAATGGCAAAATTTCATTCTTTTTTTTATGGTTGAGCAAGTAGATCCAACCAGTCCATCCTAAAGGAGATCAGTGCTGGGTGTTCATTGGTAGGACTGATGCTGAAGCTGAAACTCCAATACTTTGGCCACCTCATGCGAACAGCTGACTCATTGGAAAAGACCCTGGTGCTGGGAGGGATTGGGGGCAGGAGGAGAAAGGGATGACAGAGGATGAGATGGCTGGATGGCGTCACCGACTCGATGGACATGAGTTTGAGTAAACTCCAGGAGTTGGTGATGGATAGGAGGTCTGGCGTGCTGTGATTCATGGGGTTGCAAAGAATCGGACACGACTGAGTGACTGAACAGAACTGAATTGAACTGAATATTCCATTAGATATCACATCTTCTTCATTCATCTGTTGCTGAACACTTAGGTTGCTTCCATATCTTGGCCATTGTAAATAATGCCGCTGTGAACACTAGGGAGTATGTCTTTTCAAAGTTTTTCATTTTTTTCTGATACATACCCAGGAGTGGCACTGCTGGGTCATATGGCAGTTCTATCATTAGTTTCTTGAGAAACCACCACACTGTTTTCCACAGAGGCTGCACCAGTTTACATTCCCACCCACAGTGTAGGAGTGCTCCCTTTCCTCCACGTGAGAGGAGCCTGTGAGGACCTTGGTGGGATGTCAGTCTGGACTGTCTGCTTTTGGAATCCTGAAGAAAGTGAACCGGAGATCCAGGGACAGATCTGGCCACCTGGGCCATCTTCCCAGGGCCCACTGCCCCAGTGCAGTGCTCTCCTTGGACCCTTATACTGGAAATCAACCCTGAATATTCACCGGCCATCTCCATCAGAAGAGAAGTAAGCCTCTGTCAGGGGCCTTCCCTGGAGGCTCAGATGGTAAAGCATCTGCCTTCAACGCAGGACACCCGGGTTCAATCCCTGGGTCTGGAAGATCTCCTGGAGAAGGAAATGGCAACCAACTCCAGTACTCTTGCCTAGAAAATCCCATGGACGGAGGAGCCTGGTAGGCTACAGTCCATGGGGTCGCAAGGAGTCGGGCACGAATGAGCGACTTCACTTTACTTTAAGTCTCTGTCATGAGGTGGGGCTCTGAACCTAAGTCACCAGAGAGGCTTCTTATCTTCGGCGTGCCTTCCTCCTCCGGTGCGGCCCTTGGCCACCACGGGGCAGCCTTACCTGGGGAAGTCCTGCTCCAGAGGACAGAGATGCTGGCCCTCACCCACCGCCATCTTGCGTGCGGAGACTACAAGTCCCAGCATCCACCGCTCACGGCCCGGCCACGCCCCCTGGTAAAGGCCGGCCCGGGGACCTGCGCGCGGCCCCGACAAGTGGCCCTCGGCGTCTCTGGCAAGCCGGCTCCGCGGCCAGCCTGGCCTTCGTGGCTGGCGGTTTCTTAGCTCCAAGATGAGGCAGGAAAAAAAAAAAAAAAAGAAGCGAGCTCTCTAGCAGAGAGCTGCCCCCTGCCTGCGCATTCAGCCCACCAGCCACCAGCAGGACCCTGGCAAGAACGGAGGGTTTTGTCAGCTGGGAGCTGTGCTGGTGAATGCAAAAAGTGAAACCAGATGTTCCTTCTTCTAGTTGCTTCACATCCACGCAGGGGCTTGGAGGAGGAGGCAGTAAAAACGCCAGGGCCCGTGATGGCCGACGCCCAGGTTTACGCGCCGGCTAACCTTGCACCATAAATCCGTTGCCCTCGCCGGAGCCTCGGCTTCCGAAGGGGCCGGGCCCAGCTGCGGCGGTGACCCAAGGCTGCCGGCTGGACCGCACGGGAGGGACTGGGGGAGGGAGCCTGACTGGGGACCAGCTAGTTGCTTTTCAAGAATTTCCCAGTGGGCGAAATATGCTACCAGATTGGCTGGGGGGGCGGGGGTGGGGTGGGTTGGCCTTCTTGGGAAATAACCCCAAACTCCATCTTGCATTTTCGCCTGGAAAGGAATTGGATTTCTCTTGGGAATGGACTACCAGATGCAAGAGAACTTGGTGGGAATGGACGTCAGGAAGCAGAGCTTTGCTGCAGGTCAAGTGCCCCTGAGAAAAAGGAGAGGCGGGCAGAGATCAGACGCTAGTTCCCCAGGGGCCATTCTCCAGAGACAGGGGCTTATCCTCCGTGCCACAGGATGCCGTCCGACATCGGCAGTGAAATAGTCATTCTCTTTGCGTGTGGAGGCAGAACTATTGTGGTGGGGCAGGAAAGAAGCTAGGAGATGGCTCAGGAGGCGCTTAGAGACATCCAAGTGATGTCGCTGGCTGGGACCAGGTGGAAGCGGTGGACTCTGAGTGGAGCCAAGGTCTGGTGGACAGGGTGGGAAGAATCCCAGAGGCCTCCCCAGTTTCCGGTGTGAGCAGCTGAGCGGACAATGGTGAGGCCATTGAAATGGAAGCCTGGAGGAGGATCAAGTCTGTTGAGGGGATTCAGACTTTGGTTTTGGACCCATTGGGTTAGAGATGCTTATAGACACCTGTGTGGATGTTTTAAAGGGACTGTTGAAGATGTGGGTCTGGAGATGTGAAGAGAGGTCAGGGCTGGGATCTAAATTTCCTCCTTGTGTTATGGGTGATAGAAAGACAGAGCCCGACAGCTGCTGGTCGGGCCCCAGTCATCCTATACTGTTGACACTATGATTGTGGTCACCTTCTTAATTTCTGTTTCTCATCTTTTGTTGTTAGTGTTTAGGAATGCAAGAGATTTGTGGGTGGCCACCTCTGATCCCTGCATAGACACTGGCCAGTGCCAGGGGCCCCTGGGTCTTGGCTGCAAACCTATGGGTCACGTTCCTCATGCCTGTGGCTGGCGTCTCTCCTTGATCCACCTGAGCTCCCAAGGGCTATCTCAGGCTTCCCCTCGGGGCTCCTGGGTGGATGTCTGCTGTTGATGGCATTTCCCATGTGGCAGGAAAACTTCGTGCCATCCTGACCCCAGATCAGCAGCACTCTCCCCAAGTTCTACTTTTCTCTCTTTTTGCATCATCTGGCTCAAATTTTCTGCTCTCTTAACATTTTCCCAGCTTGTTGACATTTTTACAGTGGGTAAAATCTTATTATTTCATTATTAGTCACTAAATGGGAATGATTTGCTTTTTCATTGGATCCATGTTGCCAAGACTGTTACATTAATTTCTAGCACGTTCTAAGTGACCAAGTCCTGATAAGCGGCTTGACACAGTGCTTCTAGATCTGTATCTAAGCAGCTGTTGGTGGGGTTGCTACTCAGACAGAGATGCCCACTTACAAGGATGCAGGGGGCAGTTGACCCTGCCATTCATGCTTATTTCATCTGTGCAGTTTTTATTTTGCCTTGCAATTATGGCTTTTATTTTTTCTGATTAAATAGGAACCTTGTTCAGTCCAATGGATTCCTCATATAAAAAGACTGAAAGAACCTCCCCCTTCCCCTGCCCTCAAGCTGGAGGCTGAAAACAGATGCTGCTTGTACCAGGGAGTTAAAAACTGCACTTGTGTGACTGAGGCTGTGACATATGTGCAGGAACAGCTGAGGGTTTCCTTGCGGGCTCGTGTGGAGCCCGTGGGCCAGGCGAGGAGGGCCCTGGGCCATCTGGTTCCCTGTCCTTGGGAGGCTGGGACTAGCACCACTCTGGTCCCTTTCTCCCTCTCTCTCCTGGAGCCCTTCTTCATTTTTTAAAAACTTTTTTGCAAGGATTTTTTTTCTTTAATGTCCGTTCAGTTCAGTTGTTCAGTCCTATCTGACTCTTTGCGACTCCATGCACTGCAGCATGCCAGACCTCCCTGTCCATCACTGGCTCCCGAAATTTACTCAAACTCATGTCCACTGAGTCGGTGATGCCATCCAACCTTCTCATCTTCTGTCGTCCCCTTCTCCTCCTGCCTTCAATCTTTCCCAGCATCAGGGTCTTTTCCAATGACTCACCTCTACACATTAGGCTGCCAAAGTATTGGAGTTTCAGCTTCAACATCAATCCTTCCGATGAACACACAGGACTGATCTCCTTTAGTATTGACTGGTTGAATCTCCTTGCAGTCCAAGGGACTCTCAAGAGTCTTCTCCAGCACCACAGTTCAAAAGCATCAATTCTTCAGCCCTCAGCTTTCTTTATAGTCCAACTCTCATATCCATACGTGACCACTGGAAAAACCATAGCCTTGACTAGATGGACCTCTGTTGACAAAGTAATGTCTCTGCTTTTTAATATGCTGTCTAGGTTGGTCATAACTTTCCTTCCAAGGAGTGAGTAATGTAACTAGTTTTAAAGTCTTTATTAAGTTTGTTACAATATTGCTTCTGTTTTCTGTTTTGTTTGGGATTGTATCTCCCCCACTAGGGATCGAACCTGCACCCCTGCATTGGAAGGCGAAGTCCCAGCTACTGGAGCACCAGGGAGGTCCCTCCTGCAGCCCTTCTTACTCTCCCACGGTGCTTGGTTTTCTTGCTGGTACCTGGGTTACTCACGGACTGGATCTGTAGGTGTCCTCCCCTTTGGGGAGCCTTGCTGCAGAAATGCAAACGGGGGAGGGTCGTGGAGCATGTGGGGTAGATGGGGCATGGAGAAGGTCAGGCTGCTCATGGGAGGTGTCTCCAGGGAAGGGCACAGAGGAGACCAGCTGGCAGGAAGGGAGTTGGGGGAGCAGCCAGGCAGGAAGACAGTGCTGCTGGGGGCACGGGGGCCGTGAGAACGGAGCGGGGACGGGAGTCTTGGAAGCCTGAAAGAAGCCGATTTCGAGAAGGCAAAGTGATGAGTTAAGACTGTAGACAGTTATTAAGCAATAAACTGTCCACTGTGTGTGCGTGTTAGCCGCCCAGCCGTGTCTGACTCTTTGCCACCCCATGGACTGTGGCCCAGCAGGCTTCTCGGTCCGTGGGATTTCCCAGGCAAGAACACTGAAGGGGGTTGCCATTCCCTTTCTCCAGGGGATCTTCCCGATCCAAGGATCGAACCTGGGTCTCCTGTATTGCAGGTGGATTTTTTTACCATCTGAGCCACCAGGGAAGCCCATTAGATTTAAGAATTCAGCGCTAACTAGTGCCTTCATCAGAGCTGGTTAGGAGGAAGAGGTGGGGCCGGAAGCCAGCCTCTCGGAGGTTGGAAGGCAAGCACCCAAAACAGCCAAGTGAAGCCAGCCACCTGTAGGGAATTTGGGGCAGAAGCTGGGGGGCACACGGGGCGGAGGGAGGGGCTCTGTTTGCCTGGTTCTGCTTGGAGCCTGGCCTGAGATTCTCTTCACTTTCATCTCCTGTTCCAAAAGAGAAAAAGAAGCGCTGCTGGGGGACAGCCCAGCCTGCCTGCGATCACCCTGTGGATATGTCCGTGCTCATGACAAGACTGCAGGAGTGTCCTCTCAGAGTCGTCCTGTCGCTCCAAAGGTGTGTCTGCCGGAAGGTCACCGGGGCTGCGAGAAGGCCCGGGTGGTGACCGACCGGGGAGCGTCCACTTTCCAGGTCCAGCCCTGCCACACCCCGGCGAGCTGCTCCGGCCCTGCCTGTACCTCCTCGCCCCGTGGACTCACCTCTTCCCTTGCCCCGGGGGCCAGCTCCAGGTCCCCGCCTCGTTGGTGAAAGTGTTTTGTGCGATTCCTCCTGTTGCCTGGAGAACACTTTTCTCCTTTGTTATTGTTTTGGTTTTAACCGGGAGAACTTGGGTCATGACACCAAGGGGCTGACAGGAGGTGGGGGATGGGAGTCAGGGAGGGGGCTCTGGGGAGCGGAGGCTGAATGGGGTCAGCTCGCAGGTGAAAGGTCAGGGTCGAAGGTCAGGAGTAGGCAGGGAGCGGGACAGGTGTGAGCCTGGGCAGGAAGTCCAGGGACCCCACAGTGGACTTCTTCTGCTCAGTAGAAAGGCGGCAGGATCACCGGAGGAGGAGGAGACAAGAATGGGTGAAAAGCTCTGAGGTTCGGCTCTGTGGGAGCCAAGAGGAGCCGGGCAGGGACCAGAAGGCAGTTTCCCCTGCCTGGCGAGTGACAGTGTAGTCACGGTGACCCGCACACCTACGGTCCGGAGTTCCCGCCATCAGTGCTGTGAGGATGTGGGCAGGAAGGCTGTGTGCGGGGTTCGGATGGGGAGCTCAAGGTAGGAAGGCAGGCAAGATGAAGGGCCAGGGGCTGGGGGAGCGACGGGTCCAGGTCTGAGCCCTGCCCCCACCCCGTGATTCCTGGTCCTCCCCCTTCCCCACCTGCCCCAGCCTCGTCCCTGGAAACCAAATTCATTTCACTCACTGTTTTATCTGGAGATTGGCCTTCAGGGTCATCTGGACGTGGAGCTGTGGGCTTGGGGGGGACGGTGACAGGTCAGTGTAGGTTCATCGGGGTACCAGTGTACCATCTGGGGCAGGAGGGTGAAGGTGGGAAGGCCGTCATTTTGGGGGCGGGGGCCACGTGGGAACAAGACCCTACTGTGAGGATGAGCCAGGAGGGGAGGTGGGCAGGCTGGTTGGGGGTTGCGAGTGGGCAGAGTGGAACTAGCTCATAGCCCTGACCACACCCGTGCTTAATCGGCTTTACTTTTAAGAGCAGTTTTAGGTTCATGGCATAATGGAGCAGAAACTACAGAGATTTCCAAGATCCCAGATGCCTCCATGCCCACCCTCACTTCCCTCACCGTCAACATCCCCTCCCCTTCACATGCTCGTCCATTCAGAAGTAAAGCCCTATTTTGCTTACTGCACTTAGGGGATCGCTTCTGACAAGTCGACAGTGACAGAAGGGAGATGTGTGGCTCCCTAGACCAGATTACTAAGGACGACACAGCCTCCACCTTGACCTTGCTCACGGGGATCTTGTTTGGGGGAAAAGAATTGCCGCTTTGTGAGGACACTGTCTGCCCCATGGCTGGATCCATGGGGAAAAAACCGAGGCCTCCAGCCAAGAGCTCCGTGAGTGAGTCGAACTGATGGACCCAGTGGAGCCTGCAGTTGACCGGGCCCAGCCAACGTCATGACTGCAGGCTCGGGAGAGGCTCTGAGCTGGGATCCCCCCACCAAGCTGCTCCCAGATTCCTGACCCTTGGACACTGTGGGATAATACATGCTTATTGTTTTAAGTCCCTAAGTCTTGGGGTAATTGGTTATGCAGCAAGAGATAATGAATATAATACCTTTAATTTCATTCTGATTATCACTTTGTCACTAGACTTGCCACATGACCTACTCTGTCAAGTCTATTTTTTTCCTGGCTGTCTCCACCTTTCTGCTGCCACTGGGCTGGTTATTCTCGAGACCTGCAGCTTAGAGGTCGTCTCCCCTACCCTGCTGATTGTGCTTGCTGGTTCCGAGGTCTCTTAGTCTTCCTTAGGCCTCCTTTCCTTTTTGTAAAAAAGTTTATTTAAAAATATATTTTTAAAATTGAAGCGTAGTTAATTTGCAATGCTATGTTAGTTTCAAGTGTACAACAAAGTGATTCAGTTATAATATGTATGTGTTCAGTCGCTAAGTCATGTCTGACTTTCTGTGACCCCATGGACTGCTGCATGCCAGGCTTCCCTGTCAGACACTATCTCCCGGAGTTTGCTCAAATATATGTATATTTTTTTCAAATTCATTTCCCTTATAGATTATAAGGTATAGAGTGGAGTTCCCTGTGCCATATGGTAGATTCTTGTTGTTTATCTATTTTATATGCAGTAGGGCAAATATATTAACCTCAAACTCCTAATTTCTCTCTCCACCACCACGCCCCACTATATTCTTTGAAAGCCATGAGTTTGTTTTCTATGTCTGTAAATCCGTTTGTTTTGCATTATAAATTAGTTCATTTGTATAATTTTTTCAGATTCCATATATAAATGGTGTCATAGGATATTTGATTTTGTCTGAATTATTTCATTTAATTTGATAATCTCTAGGTCTATCCATATTGCTGAAAATGGCATTGTTTCATTCGTTTTTGATGGCTAAGCAATATTATGTTGTATGCATACACCATCTTATCCATCCGTTGTCGATGGACTTATGTTGCTTGTGTGTCTCGGTTGTTGTAAATAGTGCTGCTGTGAACATTGGGATGCATGTGTCTTTTTATATTAGCGTTTTCTCTGGATATATGCCCAGAAGTGGGTTGCAGAATCATATGATAACTCTATTTTTAGTTTTTTCAGGAAACTTGATACCGTTCTCCATAGTGGATGTAGCAATTTACATTCCCACCAGCGGTGTCGAAGGGTTCCCTTTCTTCTGCACCCTCTCTAGCAGGAATTACTCCTAGGCTTTTAAATGATGGCCATTCTGACTGCTGTCACGTGATTAGGCTTCCTTTTCTTCCTTTTTATTCTTTTCTTTTCCTGAAACCCATCAAACATTAGCACTTAGGAAAAAGTCTGTGGGAGATAAAAACTTTTTCTTTTAATCCTTGTGTGTGTAAAAATATCCTTACCTGCTTTCATTCTTGTTCAGTTTTGTTGTTGTTCAGTCAGTAAGTCGTGTCTGACTCTTTGAGACCCCGTGGACGGTACCCCAGCGGCTCCTCTGTCCATAGGATTCTCCAGGCAAGAGTACTGGAGTGGGTTGCTATTTCCTTCTCCAGGGGATCTTCCCAACTCAGGGATCAAACCCACATCTGCTGTGTCTCCTGCATTGGCAGGTGGGTTCTTTAAATACTGAGCTACCAGGGGAGCCCTGGTTATTGAATTCCAGATAGAATGTCATTTTCTCTTAGAATTTTGAAGTCATTGATTGTCCTAGCATCCAAAGCTATATTAGCTGTACCATTTTCCTTCCTGTTTTGCTGTGTCTTCCCTTGGTTTTCCTTCCTTGGGAGTTCGAGGGCCCTCAGTTTCCCCTGGTGTGGTGGAGTTTTGTGATGATGTTCCTTATTGTATCAGTTAGGATCCTGGAAGTGAAGAAAGCCCAATTAAAATGGCCCCAATGACAAGTGGGTTAATTCTCTTGAATAATATAAAAGTCCTGGGATAAGGTGGCTCTCAGGTTGTTTAACTCAGTGGCTGAATTACACCAGGAACCCTGGTTTTAAAAAAATCCGTTTGTTCTGCCAGGATGCTTTGGGTGGCTCCTTTTGTGGGCGCAGTATGGCAGTGGCTTATATTCCAGAGGCAGAAATTGGAATTGCCTCGTCCTCTGACTCTTTAAAACTGTAGAATGTTTCCTAGAATTAGTCCCATCATTGGCAGACTTTCTATTAAGACCCCACATCCAAAATTAGGTGTTAGGGCTCTTCTTAAATGAATCACTAGACAAGGGAAATAAAGTTAATATGATTGTCCTCAACTAATCAAGGTTTACTCCCTGGAGCTGAAGATGAGGTGGTCTTTCCTGACACCATGACTTTGCAGTGGAGGCTGAGGACTTAAATACAATCTGAATCCTATTACAAGGAAGAATAAGGCAAATGTTATTGGTGAGCAACCAACATTGTCAAGTGACTATGGGTTCTTCTGTCATTTACTGTGATAGAAACCCGGTGATCTGTCTTCTAAAAACGTCAAAGTCTCCCATCTGTTGATGTCCCCTCCTGTGTCCTTTGTCCTTGTGGGTTTATGACATTTTGTTCCTTTATTACCATTTTAATAGGGTCTCTGAAGGGAAAGGTGAAAAATATGTGTGCAGTCTCTCTTCCTGTCTGGAAGCTCCCAGCCAATGTTTCTCAAACTGGGAGCTGTAGGGCCTCAGTCTGTACAGCCTACAGTGAGGGAGCTGTGTCTAGTGTTTTAACAAATGAGAGTGTGGAAAATACCAGATGGTATGTATTGCACAGAGTGAGATTAAATATTGTTTCCGTTGAGTATTTCTGGGTTGCATGTACTGGGAAGAGATGTGAAGAGTCACATAAAGCTATTTGGAAAGCATTAAAGAAGGGGCTTCCCCGGTGGCTCAGTGGTAAAGAACCTGCCTGCCAAAGGCTGGAGATGCGCATTTGATCCCTGCATCAGGATGATCCCTTGGAGGAAGAAAGGGCAACTTACTCCAGTATTCTTGCCTGGAGAATCCCATGGACAGAGGAGCCTGGTGGGCTACAGTCCATGGGGTCACAAAGAGCTGGACACGGCTGAAGCGACTGAGCGCACACGCACTTTGAAGAAATCTCTTCTGAGCATTTTGTGCTCGACAACCCTATCTTACTTGGGGTGGTTTTACGGGTACGTGAGGCTCAGAGAACATAGCAAGTCCATCCGACTCCAATGGGCATGAACTAACGTGTGATTTATGCATAAAGAAATGGTTCCGTTCCACAGAGTCACTCAAAACTCCATGGAAGTAAACGTGTTACTGTTATCATGTTATTCGTTTCTGTTTTCCCAAGGAAGAAACTGCGCTCCAGAAGTATCCTTGGCCCTGCAGCAGGGCAGCAGGCAGGCGGGTCTGAGAGGCATGGCTCTGGACCCTGAACGGGAGCTGGGCTGAGATCTGTTCCCCTCCCCCGCCCGTGGTCAGGGCTGGGTCACAGCCCTCGCCGAGTGTCCAGGGTAACCTCCGCAAACATCTCTCCAAAGGCCGCATTCCCCAAATGTTTGGAGAGCCTCCGACCAGAAGAGATGCTAGGCTTCCGCTGAGTTACATAACAAAGTACTAGGCTCGAGGTTTGGTTTCAAGGCCTATTTTTCACTCAACCTTGCCCTTCCCAGGCAGCTGTCTGCAGCAAAGACTGATGGGTGTATTTCCTCCACCGAAAGATTTTCAAAAAGTGAAAACATCCCTCTGGGCGAGGTCACCATCAACCTGAAAACCTGGTCCCTGGGTCCCACCCCCGGGCCGTGGGCGCCGCCTACCTGCCGCCTTCAGGGGGTTGTCTGCCTCTCCTGCTTCCTTCCTGTGTCCCCTTGTCATTCTTGCCTCACTCTTTTCTGCTTTCCAATGTTAAAATTCTTTTTTTTAAAATATCTTTGACATGGAAAAATCATATCTAATTAAGGTGTCCAGCCTGATGTTTTGATACACATAGACGCTGTGGCGCTTCTCAAGTGGGGCTAGTGGTAAAGAATCCACCTGCCAAAGTGGGAGACCTAAGATGTGGGGGTTCAGATCCTGGGTCGGGAAGATTCCCCGGAGGAGGAAATGGCACCCCATTCTGGTACTCTTGCCTGGGAGATCCCATGGACAGAGGAGCCTGGCAGGACCCAGTCCATGGGGTCGCAAAAAGTCAGACACGACTGAACATCTGAGCAGAAGATAATACACATGTAGACATGGAAAAGATCCCAAGCTGATTGGCCCATCCGTCACCTTGACACAGTTACCACCGTGTGCGTGTGTGTGTGTGTGTGTGTGTGTGTGTGTGTGTGTGGTGAGATGATCTCCTTTTAGCTCGGTCCTCTTTTGCAACTCTCAAGCATTCAGTACAGCACTGTTAGCAACAGTCACCACGCTGTGTGACAACTCTCAGCTTTCTCTCTAGAACACACTCATCTCGCATAACCGAAGCCCTGTGACCCACACCATGCCATTTCCCTCTCCGCTCCTCGCCAGCAGCCACTGTCTACTTGCCAACTCTGTGCGTCGGACTATCACAGGTTCCACCTACAAGCAAAATCATACGGTGCGTCTCTGTGTCCGGCTTATTCCTCACAGCTTGAGGGGCTCCAGGCCCATCCATGTTGTCACAGGGGCGGGCATCTCCTTTTTAAAGGCTGCATAGTTACTGTCTAACCTTGTTTCTGAGGCCGAGGTGATCAGAGAGGCATGCACCCCAGTCCTGCTTCATTCCTCGCATCAAAAGCCAACATTCTTTACTTCTTATTTAAAAATTACAGCAGAAAGACTCAGAGTCCTTTTCTATATTGTCCAGCTTTTAAATTGCTGTCAGTGGGAAACTTGGTCTGAATACCTCGCCTGGTGCTGTTGGAAGTTGGAAACCCTCCCGACAGCGTGAGGCTCCCATTCAGTTCCAAGTGCGTCCTATTCTCGACGGTGTCGCTTCTATAATTAGCCCGTCCCCCGCTTAGAGGCCCGCAGCCCCACTCCCTTGGGTCATGGGGTGGAAGGAGCAGGGGGGACGTGGGCTCAGAAGCTGACCCCGACAGGGTGAGCAGGGCTCGGGGTGCTGGGGGTCCTGGCTCCCTCATTCTTGCTGTGCTGCCCGCTCAGGACCTGCGCTCGGTTCTCAGGGCACGTGATTTGGAAAAAAGACGTGTGAACGGTGCTCTAAAAACAGTCATCTCTCCATGAAGAAATGGCAGACACAGCCGCAAGGGGAACCACAGTGCGGTGCAGTGCAGGACCGGCTGGATCTCTGGGAGGAGAGGAAATGGGAGGCGGAGGGATGGGGGAGGTAGTGAAGCCCTGGGGCCTGTGCGGGGGCTGAGGCCTCGGGGCGGGGGCTTAGTCCCCTGCCGCCTGCAGTCGGACACTCCCCGGCCTGTTAGGGCAGAGCCTGTCCGTGTCTCCCAGGCCCGCGGCCGCCTGGACAGGGCTGCACCAGGGGCTCGTGGGAAGAGACGGTCCCTGGGTTGCACAGACACTGCCGCTCCTGCCCCTGGTGACTTGGATGGAGATCAGGGCTGAGCCGCAGCTCCGGGCTCTGCTTGCCAGCACGCCGGGCTCTCCCCTCGGGCAGGGCGCCCCGGGGACCAGAAGGAGGGGTGCTGGGAGCTCCTTGAGTGCAGAGCTGCTCTGGCGGGGGACCCCCCGAGCATCAGCTCCCATCCGTCCGCGGTCCGTGGAAGGATGCCCCGGCCCTCCCTCTCTGGGCGGCGAGCTGCAAGGCTGGCACCCACCAGCTCGGAGCCTGGCGCTGCCCTCGGGACTGGGCCGCCTCATAGATCCCACTTGGTGAGGTCGGGCTTTCCTTCTCAGACCCAGGCGGGTCCCCAGCGTCTGCCAGCCTCAGGGCGCTCCCCTGTCCTCTCTGTCCAGAAGGCTGAAGCAGGCTGGGACCCACGATCCCCCAAGCCCCCTCCACCACCGTCTCTGCTCGAGGTCCGGGCACTGAAGTGGGGCCAGGAGAGGCCAAGGAGCCCATGAGACACGGGCTCGTGGGGCGGGAGGTGTGGCTCTGCTCAGGGGCCTGCGTCTCCCGGCTTTATATGCCCAGCCTCTGCCAGGACACGCCACCTGGCTCTTCCCTCGCAGCGTCTCCTGGGCATGGCCTGGCTTGGAGGGACGTTCCCCTGTCTCCCAGCCCAGCCCTCCCTCGAGTCTGACTTGTTTTTCTGCTGACGCGGGAATCCCAGCGCGTGCTCTCTGAGTCGCCCTGCCCTTGGAAGAGAAGCCGGCTCTAGTCAGTTATCCGCTAGCACATGCTGCCCTCTATCGGCTCCGGCTCCAAGTGCCCCGGCTCCCTTGCAACAGCAGCCCCAGGCCTTCGTGGAGGGTCCACAGCGAGATTCCTTCCAGGAAAGTGGGCTCTTTCCCTTCCCCCAGCGCCGAGGACCAGCCCTTGCTCTTGGGAGGGGCTGGGGGGAATGTCAAAAGGCAGGCAGGCCTGGTGGGTCTGGCTGGGGGTGGGCGGTGGAGGGGGGAAATGGTCCAGTGCTTCACTGCCAGCTGTGAAATAACTGGAATGTTCTAGCTTAGGAGCTGGGACCAGCCTGTCCTACAGCCGCGCCGTCCACCTGTGCTCACAGCTCTTTGCTGGGCCTAGAGAGGGGCGTGCAGGGCCTGTCATCTGTGCATCCAAAGCAGCTTCCTTTTTCTGCCTTCTGGGGAGGGGGCTTCCCTGCCGGAGCCCCGAAAACCAACTCAGACGCTGAAAGGCGAGGCGGGGAGGACACACACACCTCCTGAAACAACATCTCTCCAGCTCATGTTTGAAGAACCTGGAGCGCTTGGTTGAACATTGTCCGGTTCTGTTTCCAGGGGAGTCTGGGACCGAATCAAAGAACAAAGTTCACAAACGTGGGAGGAGAAACTGGGAAACATTTTGTTTTGGTAGCTGGCAAGCTTGTCTCCAGAGGTGAGGGAAAGACGCTAAAAGAGGAAAGAACTCTGTTTTCCTGCAATAAGCCCCCAATCTGGCAAAAGCAAAGCGTCCTGCTCAGCAGGAAAGATGCTAAAGTGAGTTTTTGTGAGTTTCAAGGTTTTATAGCGTGAAGCTCCTTAGGAGAAAAAAAGACTCACTTCACTATGAAGCAAAGTTTGGAGCTAGCCACCTTCAGCTTTCCTTAAATTGGGGGTGGTGGTCACAGAGGTTAATGTGCTAATTCCCAGGGAATTGAAACCACTGTTTGGTGGGAGCAAACCTTTGCTCTCCTCTGCCCTGAGGAGCGGAGATAGAGACCAGAAAGTGGGGGAGGAGGGGTTGAAATTTGAAATTATAAGTTTTCACGTAGATTGAAAGTGAAAGTAGCTCAGTCATGTCTGGCTCTTTGCAATCCCGTGGACTGTAGACCACCAGTCTCCTCTGTCCATGGGATTCTCCAGGCAAGAATATTGGAGTGGGTTGCCATTTCCTTTTCCAAGAGATCTTCCCGACCCAGGAATCCAACACACATCTTTACTGTCTGAGCCCTCAGGAAAGTCCAGTTTTCATGTGGGGTTCAAGCACCTCACCATTTCCGATATGGCCACTCTGCAGAAATGGAAAAGAAGCATTTTTTAAAATTTATTTTCATTTTGAATTTTTATTTGGATTTCTAGCTGCAGAAACTCATTGTTAGGAGACTCATCTTTTCTCACTCAACTAAAAAAAAAAAATGGACTTGTTCCTCCTTTCTGAAAATCTTGAGCAAATTCTGAAAAACACTAAAACAAAAAAGGTTCCTTTCTTTTGGCAGAACCGACCTGAAATTTGGGCCGTGTTCGTCTTTGATGACTGACAGTGTTGATTCAGCCGGCATCTCTCTAAAGTTACTTAGGCGCATCCCAGGCAGGCCAGACGGATTCAGTGGGCCCTGCTCTGGCTTCTAAGAGCCCGGCAGGCAGGGGGTCAAACTCTGAGGGCTCCCTTCTCGCGGAAACGGAAACGGAGCTGGGTCTGCTTGATCATGTGTATTGTGCACTCCAGGATTTGGTTTGTTTTATAGCCACACTTCCCCTCAACACTCCCTTCCCGCCCCTGTGGTGTAAGGATGGCGTCACGAGACATTGAGAGATGATCCACGCAGTTACTCTTCCTTCACGTTTCCTGCAAGGCCAGCTCCACCTCTCAAGAGAGCAGTGTTTTCCCAAAGCCAGGCCCTGCTGAGCTGCAGACATGGCTCCCTGGTTTTATTTGGGGAACATCAAAGGTAAACAAGAGGGCCCTGGGCTTATTCGTGGTATTTAAAACACAAGAGTGTGACCGTCTAAAGAATACCTCAAAGAGTTGTTGGGATTCCCTGCATTCCTCGCTTCATGTGAGTGTTCTCACAGTGTTTGGGGAAGCTGCCAGGGTCTGAAGGTCCTGGCCTCTGGGCAACTGGCTGAAATGCCCACAGCAGGACCGAGGCCCCTCAGGGTGGGCGTGAGGCTCCAGCACACCTGAGATGATGGGCCCGCACCATCCAGACAGAACTTGCATCTTCTTGGCTTTGCTACTTGGTGGGATCAGAAGCTTTTTACTTCTCCCAGCCTCCATTTGGTGTGTGTGTGGTGGGGGGTGGGGGGCGGTGAAAACATTGTGAGTGTCATTATAGAAGTTTAATGCTTAGATGCCAATTGGTAAGATACCAGTAGGATTATCTTTTTAAAAGTCTGAATTAAAAGGATCGAAAGGAAATGAGATATAGAACTGACTTCTTCAAGCCCTGAGCCTCACCTGGGCTTGTGGTCGTGTAAGGCAAGGAACTGGGGTAGAAGTAGAAATAGAAGCTTTGGGAGGAAGACGAGGAAACAGAGAGAGGAGAGCTAAGACCTTGTCTTCTGGAACAGGCGTGGGGAGCAGGCCTTGGGGAAAACAGGGTCTGAGGTGGCGTCTGCCTTGCCTGGGGATTCAGCCCGCCGCTGATAGAACCTGATAGAGCCCTGGGATTACGGTCTGGATCCCTGTGGAGAGAGGTCTTGGCTGGGAGCAGAAAAGGGGACTTGGGGGTGGGGGCGAACTGGGAATCAGGCCAAAGCTCCCAGTCTGCCAGGCAGAGAGGGGCCTTGGAGCGCCAGCCGGTTAACCGGTGAAGCGCCTGGTTGATGAGTGCGCCGTGGTCAGGGTGCATCTGCCCTAAACCCCCACACGCTCACCCTGGGCTCTCTGCACACCCAGGCCTCCCCGTGCCTCCTTGACTAAGCCTGACTTGTGCTGGGCAGCCGTTGGGGGAGGGGACCCCTGGGACAAAGTTTTCTAGAAGTCTGATGTTTGGGGGGTGTTCTCCTCGCCAACAGAAGTGGCAACGAAAACACAGAGGACTTGCTTCATGAACTTGGGAGCTCCAGAAGCTGTTGGGCAACACGATATGGGCAAAAGTGAATCGTCTCGTATGTAGTTGCAGATTTTATATTACCTTTCGTCCTTGTGGCCTTTCCTGTATAATTGGGTTTTCATTGTTGCTCATATAATTTCTTCTAACTTTTAAGTATACATGGGGGTAGGGGAGGAGGAATTGGCTGAATGCATTTTACAATATTTTTTAAAAATTATTTAAAAAATGCATGCAGGAAAGTGCCCAAAGCCTAAAGGTATAATTCACTAAGGGTTCACAACTGGAAAACACTCATGCAACCAACACTCACACTAAGGAACGGGACTTGCTCAGCCACCAGGAGCCCCCTTCTCCCGAACCAGCCCTGGTCTTGCATCATAGTTTAGTGCTGTCTGTTTTTTCCCTTTTTTAAAAAAATGGTTTTTAATTGTGGCGAAAGGCGTGAAACAAAATTTATCCTCGTCACTGTCTCTCAGTGCCCAGCTCAGCGGCGTGAAGCGCGTTCAAACTGGGCCACCCTCACACTCTCCATCCACAGCCCTCCTTTCATCTTGCAAAACCGAAGCTCCGTCCCCATTCCCCTCCCCAGCCGCTGGAGCCCACCAGCCTGTGTCTATGAACCTGCCTACTCTGGGGGCCTCTTCTAAGTGGAGCCAAGCAGTGTCTGTCATTTTGTGACCGGCTTGTGCCACTGAGCGTGATGTCCTCCCATCCCTCCGCAGTGCAGCCTGCGTCAGGATCTCTTGATCAGGCTGACGGGTACTCCGCTCTGTTGATACCCCTTTTGTTTACCTGGGCATCTACTGGTGGACACTCGGGTAGCTTCTGCCTCTTGGCAATTGTGAATAAAGTCGTTATGAGCATCGATGTGCAAATATCTCTTCAAGACCTATTTTCAATTCTTTTGGATAATTACCCAGAGGTGGAATTGTTAAGGCAAGTGGTAATTCTAGCAATGGCTCAGATGGTAAAGAATCTGCCCACAGTGCAGGAGACCTGGGTTTGATCCCTCGGTCGGGAAAATCCCCTGGAGAAGGGAATGGCAACGCATCCCAGTATTCTTACCTGGAGAATTCCATGGACACAGGAGCCGGCCAGCTACAGTCCATGGAGTCACAAGGAGTCGGACACGACTGAGTGACTGCTATGTGGTAATTCTACTCGTGAGTTTTTGAGGAACCTCCCTACTGTTTTCCATAACTAGTTTTGCCTGTTTTTTGTCACTGTTGTTTAGTCGCTAAGTCGTGTCTGACTCTTTACAACTCCATGGACTGTAGCCCGCCAGGCTCCTCTGTCCATTGGATTTCCCAGGCAAGAATGCTGGAGGAGGTTGCCATTTCCTTCTCCAGGGATCTTCTTGACCCAGGGATTGAACCCGCGTCTCCTGCATTGCATGTGGTTACTTTATCGATGAGCCACTGGGGAAGCCCCTTTTAAATTTCTATACATGGAACTTTTCAGTACACTGTTTTGTCTGGCTTTTTTCTTCAGCTTTGTATAGCTCAATTTCTGTTGCTACGTTTTTAACAGGCATCCAGGTTTGTAAGAAGCTATACTTGCTTTTTATTTGTATTTCAGATTTTCCCATATCTTTTAAACAAATACAGTTGATTTACAATGTTGTACTAATTTATGCTGTACACAGACACATTATTTTTTGAAAAGGTTTTTTTAAAAAAAAACACGT